GATGAATTATACGAGGCCCGACATAGCTTATGCTGTCGGAAGATTGAGTCGATATACTCATAATCCAAGTGGGGATCATTGGACCGCGTTGAGGCGGTTACTCAGATATTTGAGAGGTACCATTAATTATGATATATTTTATAGTGGGTCACCCGTTGTACTAGAGGGATATAGCGATGCTAATTGGGTCTCAGATGAGATAAAATCCAATACTGGATATATATTCACCCTTGGAGGTGGTGCCATTACATGGAAATCAACCAAACAAACTATAGTTTCTAGATCCACTATGGGGTCCGAGCTTATTGCTTTGGAAGTGACTAGTAGTGAAGCAGAGTGGTTGAAAATTTTTTTAGCAGAAATTCCGGTTGGTACAAAACCAACACCATCTGTGTCTATTCATTGTGATTGCAGAAGTGCAATAGATACTGTTAAGAAAATGTGTTATAATGCAAAGAATAGACACATTCGTTTAAGACATAAAGTCATTAAACAATTATTGAAGAATGGAATTGTGTCCATTAATTTTGTGAGGTCACAAGGAAATTTAGCGGATCCTTTGACAAAAGCCCTAGGACGAAAATTGATAACCGAAACATCTAAGGAAATGGGGCTTGTGTCACTTTGAAACAAATGGGGATGAGAACCCAATCTGTGTGATTGGAGATCCCATGAAGCAAGTTCAAATGGGTAATAACAAGTCTTCCATTTAGTTTTGCTAGCCTAACTAAAATTGCCCATTTCCATGATGTGAGATATAGGCTAGAAACCGCATTCTTTGAGAGGTTGAGTTTAAAGCTCTTAATGATTATCATAGCCCTTAATTTTAGGGTGGTGTGCAAAAGCGGTACACACTTGATGATATCACCTATATGAGTGTGAGGTGGGGCCTCCTCCATGAAGCATGACAAAACTTCTAGAGCACTCATGAAAACCAAGCACGCGCATGGCCTTACTGCGCACAACGACGTAATAACGAGAAATTGTGTGGGGTGAGACATGACCGTTAAGACCCTGATTTACCAATAGTAGCTTGTTGGTTTCAAGAAACTATATGTTTCACCAAAAGCTCGGTTTATTAAGACTTAATCATCTCGGTTGGGTTTCAAGTCTACGGACACCAAACTTAAAGTCTCATTCCTTTAGTCCAGCAGAAAATTTTCTAAACTATTTTTAACATCTAAAATTATTCATTTGAAATATGTGGGGGATTGTTGAAAAAATTGGGAGTATTTCAAATGAATAAAATATATAAAATTATTATCTCTATTATCTAATAATTAATCAATTTTATATTTTCATATATTCCATACAAAGTTAATAAATGGTTGATTATTGAGCTCTCAAAGTAATAACGTTACAATAGTTTTGGACTTAAAATTAGTATTATTAAATAATATAAGTACTCCTAACGGTTGTAATAGTTAGTGAGACTTGAAGGAGTTTTCAACATTAACTTATCCTATTTATTTTTTGAACGTTAACACTCTAACGTACGAGCATGCAACAACATTCATGCTAGTGTTTGTATATATATATATATAAGTTTGTATGGAGCTAGAAAGGTGGTGAGAAATATACAAGCTAAAAATTCCCTCACACAACATTTCTCTGCTGGATTAATTTCTTATTTACTCTCGTTGTTCTGTTACCGGCTTACGTCGAAGAGCTCGTTTAATCTTGGGGAAAGGTTTTCGCTAGTCGGAAATACTTTCTTGAGGATAGCGTTCACGCGACTCGAGCTATATATTTTCTAACTCTTTTTGAATGTTTATCTGACCAATACCTCCATCATGTATAAGCTCTAAGTATATTAGGAGTAGACCTTAAAGGCTACTCAAGGTAAATTGATTCTAGGCATCCGATTGGCTAAGAGCGAGGCTTTAGCATGGCGTAATGGTGACTAAAGGCGAGGCTCTAGCATAACGTAGTTCGACTAAGAGCGAGGCACTAGCACAAATGTAGATTGACTAAGAGCGAGTCTCTAGCCTAATGTAGATTGACTAAGAGCGAATCTCTAGCCTAATGTAGATTGACTAAGAGCAAGGCTCTAGCCTAATGTAGGTCAACTAAGAGCGAGGCTCTAGCACACTGTAGAATGACTAAGAGCGAGACTCTAGCACAACGTAGAACGACTAAGAGCGAGGCTCTAGCACGATGTAGGACGACTAAGAGCGAGGCTCTAGCATGGTGTAATAATAGGATTGAGTGAGGCCCCATGATGGCTAATTAATGTAATTGAGAAATAACCCATGATGGTAAAATAACTTACCGAAGGTTATGACAATCGTGACTAATAGTCACGAGGAAATAGGGGTGGACGTTTCAAAACGAATATGGTTCATGGGCCGACTACTTGACTTTATATATAAAGTAAGTATATTTTAAAAAAGAAGGTAACCGGGGGTTATAGCCTATAAAGTAATATCACCCTATATTGAGGGTCTTAGAAATTGAAACATTGATTATATACAGTTAGTTGTCATTGTGCTTTTCAAATGCTTCAAAGTACTGACCTCCCCTTCACGGGGGAGGCCACCTAACAATTTCAGGTAGAAGTTGAGTTTGCTACCGGTCACCGTTGCTTCGGGAAAGTTCATAGAGCGAAGACGTGGTTCGTGCTTTCTATGTTTCTGTTTTCAAAAAATATATAATAATGCTCATGGATATTATTTTTGAATAATTATTTGGGGGCTTGTATGCCTAAGTTTGCCAAGTGTGGCTTGAACACTTGTATTTATGTTTTCGCTGTTTTAATGAATATTTTACATTATGTTTGTTTATGGATGTACTATGTGTGAATGATATTACAGACGCCTTGTATAGTATGGATGTGTTGGACTGCGGTTGACTATTCGTACTGTACGACAGGTTGTTGACGTGTCCGGGTAGGTCTGGGGCATGACACTCTGTGAGAGTTTTATTAACTATAAAACTTCTTTTTTCCTCCTATTGTAAATAGGGCTAAGGAGAGCCACGAATTTAAGTGTTAAAATCATGTCTAGTAAATCGAGAGAGAGAGAGAGAGGAGAGAGAAGAGAACGCTAGTACGTTCCCTGCGGGCGATCCAGTCACATGTGTGTGGATACGGGTAGAGTTTGGGATCATTTTCTCGGACTGTCTGACATCCTCGGTTTAAAATTGCTATGTAAGTCTCTCATATTCTTGTAATTTCATTTATAGTAAAAACCTAAGATCCGATTGCTTATTTTTGGGCAGAGAGTTTTTTTTTCGTTTTTCCGCTGCGTTTTTCTATCCGAAACCCAACACTTTGACCTCGAGAACCTGACTTCGAACGTTGACCTCGAGAATCAGACTTCGAACTTTGACCTCGAGAACCATACTTCGAACTTTGACCTCAAGAAATGCTTATGCAAGAACATTTTCTTCTTCGTAGAATCTGCAACCTGCGATTACAAACTTCTCCAGAAACACGATTTCAGACTGTTTTATATCAGATTTTGATCCTTTTCTTCCAAAACTCGTAGAATATCGTCAATTGCAGATCAATCAAACCAAAAATCATAGCAATTGAGTTTTTCGAGTAGTAGGTCTTCTTCGCCAATGGTAGGTTCGAAAAATGTAAAAAATTTGATTTGTTTTATGCCTCAGCTCTAATACCAATTGTAAATCACGATTCCAACAATCAAACTATGCTACGAACGAAACATATAAGAAATAAAGCTTTGATTCAATACCACAATGATGTAGAATTTCAGTACAAGGTATGAAACGGCTACATCTCTCTCTTCTCTCTTAGGAATGCGCGTGAATGCCTAGTCTATTCCTTAGGATGCCCAGAGTTTCGTGCCTATCCTCTTAACTTTATAGTTCTGGGGGTTAGGCTCGTTACATAATAAGCCTATAAGAGAGACATGTGGTCTCTAACATAAGGTTGTCCATTGTCTTTTTAAATAAACTAATTACAACACAAATACAAATATATAAATCATGTTTTGACACCATAAAAATACTTTAACAACTATGGAGGCAAATCGAATCATCATCAGCCGCATTCGAGTACGTATTGAATCGAGCGAGTTTCACTTACCTCTCAAGGCTATGTCGTTATTCTGGCCGGCCCATTATGGTTGCACGACAACAATGAACTTGAGTCAATGAAGGGTGGATTGTTTGGTAAGGTGTCGCCCTTAGGGAGAAGAAGCGGGTGAATCCTTGTTTCATTTACTTGTTCAATGCCTGGTTGCAAGATAAGGATGGGGTTCAACAAGTAAGACAATTGGTCAGTATTTTTTTCCGGATCGACCACATTTATCTTGGGGTTTTAGGAGCTGTGGTGCAAACAGAATCAGAGTTTGGTAGGGTGATAGGTCGAGAGGGTCTCAAGTAATGTCAAAGGCAAAAGTCGGGCAAGGGTTGCTCCCGAAGGAAATCTTCGGCTAGGGTTGGGGGACTTCTACCCTCTATGGCAATGTCGTGCTTAACTTGTTTTGGGAAGAAGAGAAGTTAAAATTGATGCTTCAACGATGGATTTTAAGTGTCTAAGGGTGTGTTTGGGAGTTGGTTTTGGAGAGGAGGGGAAGGTTAATAAGGATTTATAATTGTTCTTTTCATGTTTGAGAGTTTATAAAATTGGAGGGGGTGGTTTTGGAAGGCTTTCATGACCCTCTAAAACCCTCTGAATGCTCAATTTTTGAGCCCCCAATTTGGAGGGTTTTGAAAGATAATTAACGAAATAGTAATTTAAACTCAATTAATAGTAAATATCTTCCCCTACCCTTCCCTCCAAACTTCCAAACATATCGTAAGAGTTTGGGAGTTTGATTTTGGATGTGAGGGGATGGTTGAGAAGGGTTTATGGTCCTCCCTCTCAATTTTCAATTTCCCCAAATTGAACATTCTTTTATAAACATATTCAAGTGAATAATTATAGAAACAAGTTTCATGAAATGATTATAAATTATACTACTTCCATGAGTTCCATCCCACAGACACCTGATTATCAAAAAAAATAAAAATAAAAAAAATAAAAAATGTTGAATCAGGATACAATATAGCAGGAAACATAACAACTCTCTCACTGCTGTAATGAGTTAATGACATCCAGTTTTATGTAATGATGCAATATGTATTGATTCAAGCAAGATCGAAGTACATCTATTTAATCTATAGAAAGAGTTCAGAAGGAAACATAGTAAGTAAGATTAGAGTACTTAATAAATACGGAGTACAAAGGACTGTATATGTTCAATTAAGATACTGGCCGAAGAAATTGCGAACTCGAGTCCACAAACTCTGGTTCCTCGATTCCCTGTGATGATCGAAGCCATGATGGCGTACCGATACGTGCAGTCCGAGTTTCTCTGCATCCTCGCCGCGTTGATGGTGCTGATGCGCGTGCTGGTGAAGGAACGGCATCAACTCCGGCGGAAGTCGTCGATCGTTACTCTTACTGGCAGGGAGGATCATGTCGTTGCCGAAGGTGATCTCGGCGCCCGATCTCAAAATCGGCCTCGGTTTTTGGCCGTGGCGGAAATGATGGCGGCATCCACTGAGTGGGAGGACAGATCTGAACCAGAAGCGGCGGTTGATCGGACGGAATTTTTGCAGATCTAGCGTCGTGAACTTGACGGCGCTGGCTTTCTTCTCTGAATCCGTGGTATCTTCCTTTCTGTTTGATGAGTCGCTGGGGAGGCGAAGGGAATCATCAGAGTGCGCATCGGATTGAGCGAGTTTGTCAACTGTGACGTCATTCACCGGTTTGGTTAATAGAGAACGGGCAACAGAGAGGGTGAAGAGCAAAAAGAGAACCGCAACGGAAAGCTTCGACATTGTTACTGTAATTCGGAATGGGGTCACTGGAATTTTAAATTACCCAAATGTGTAGTATTTTGTTTGTACGAGTGTATGTATATATAGATAGATAATACTCGGTATTAGATTCGAATTAGGAAACAAAATATTTTCAACTCCGCAAATCCGCAATACTCCATAGATAGTTGGAATTAAGGAAACCATATAATATTGGGAAATTTTACTTTGCACCTTACTTTTAGGGTAATATTGAATTTTGCACATCATTTCAAAAAAACTTTGATTTTGCACGCTATTTCACTTAAAAATCCTTTTATTTTGCATTCCAATGAGAATTTTTTCTTCACAAAATGTTATGTGTTGGAGTGCAAAATCAATTTTTTTTCAAAATGGGGTGCAAAGTCCAATATCACCTAAAAAGTGGGCTGCAAAGTCAAATTCCCCTTATAATATTTCAACCGTAAAGCTATGTTGTGAAACGGTATTCATTCATCGACGGGAAATAGGCATGTCAAAAAAACTTGGCCCACAATGACATGCTCTGGTCAGAGACATTTGGGGCAGGTTCGCCCCGTCCCGTCTTGCAAATGGGGCGGGTCCGCTCCGCCGCGCTTATACAATGGAGCGGGTCTGAGACTTTTTATTGAACCGACCCGCCCGATCCGACTCGCTCAATATATAAGTATACATACTTTAAAAAAATATACTTCTACATACATAAGTGTGTATATGATAAATCATGATTTTTTTGGTCTTATAATATATTAATATTTATATTTGAATTATCAATGTCTTTTTTATATATAGCATTTTAATCTGTATATTCAATTATTAATATAAAATAGTAACTATTCAAGTCTAAGTGTTTTTTCATAATTTTTGAATTGTTTAGCGTATTGCGACTTCGATTTAATATATAATTTTTTTCATAATTATTTAGAGATAAACTTTATGCAATTCAAGTGGTAACAACATTACAAAAATAGAAATACATACTAGATAATTAGGTTACGACGAGGCGGGGCGGGGCGGATCATGGGTCAACAAGTTTGGACCCGTGCGGGTCACGGGGCAAGGTGGGTCCATCCAGTGAAGTCACGGGGCAGGTCCGGGTCTTGTAGTACCCGCCCCGCCCCAACCCACTCACATGCCTACCCGGAAATCAATCAATATTTATAATTCATAAAAATTAGCTAATAATATCTAATACTCCCTTCGTCCATTAAAACTTTGTCAACTTTCCATTTTTGGATGTCCCATTAACTTTTCCACTTTCTCATTTAAGTAATAAATTTGTGGTTCAAGTTAATTCTCTCTGCTCTACACAAACCTCAATCACACAGTTTTTACTTTATTAATTCTCATGCCGGTCAAAATTGGCAAATTTATAAGGGACGGAGGGAGGCAGTAACAATTTAAAACACTTTTATAATATTTCAAAGTATAATTTTTGTCTTATTATATTATTTGTTATTTGTATTGTTCATTATAATCTAATTTCAAATATGTGTTATTTGTAATGTACTACGTACATTATAATATCTTGAAACATTTTCCTTTGTTTTTTTGAAAACAAATATTTTCCTTTGTTAAATAAATACTTTGAATATAAATATAATACACACTTTGCTATTTAGGGTATTGAAGTAGCAATTTTATTGATTTAAGAAATGCTTAAAATTCAAAAATAAAATTGAAGAACCCTCCTAAATGGAGGTCTTCCGGGACAGTCTGGGCTTTTCTAATCCTGATCCGAAATGGACTTTTTTGGGTTGATTGAGTTTTTCGGTTTTTTTTCTATTTTCGTGTTTTTAACTACCTCAACCGGTTTTAGGTCCAGCTCGCCGGTTTGTGGGTCGAGTTGACCGGTCCAGGATGATTTTTTAAACATAGCTCTAAAGTAGACACGTTAAGAACATATAATGTTTTTATTTAAACTTGCTTCAAGTTCAGATAAGCGTAATCTTAAACATAAAATGTCACATCAAACCAGATATTGGCGGTTGTAAAACACACAAAACACAAATGACTACCAGTTTAAATCAGATCAGACCAAACTAGTTTACACGAGATCAGACCAAGCTAGTTTAAACCAGATCAGAACATTGTTAAAAATACTAGATCAAATTAGAAAATTGTTGTCCAATTAAAATAATTCTAATTAGCTTCAATTACTTTTTCTATACATATTTAAAGATCGTAAAATCCTGAATACATATTTAAATAAAATCATTTCCCCATTTTGATAATGCATATCATATCATGCAGTCTTACTAGCCTCAACTAATAATTATAATACAGTTTCAATAATGTATTTTATAATCATATTTGCTTTCAGTAAAATTATTATTTTGAAATCAAAGAAATACATGATTTTTAGAAGTTTCGTGAAAGTTAAGTACTCGTTGAACCACCCGAGGTGGAGGTAGTTAAAGTGAATACTGAAATTTGCTTTTTTTGTTTATCGTGTTGCGTTTGGACTTTGGAACGCTCATATGTAATTATTATTACATCTATTCTTGAATAAAAGTTTGTATATACAGAATTCAAATAAAAAGTGCTCTTCATATGAAAAATTAGAATAAATTTGGGTATCATATTTGTGATCTAATGATCTAATAGCTCTAAATAAGAAAAATGTAGTAATGTACTTCGAGCCTGTTTGATAACACTAAAATTGGATGAATTAACTGATTCTACTGAAATTTATGAAGTTCTGGTTGAAGTACTGTATTGGTTGATTCTGCTGGTTCATGAAAAAATTATATTTAAAATACTTCGTATTTGTTATTAATAAATAAAATTAAAAAATTATATGAAAAAATAGCTAAAATGATCCTCACAGTAATTTCACCCAATACAGGCAGAAAAGTAACTTCAACCTTACTTTTTTGCTTATTACACAATTCAGTGCGTCAAATCAAAAGTTGCGTGTTCGATGAAAAAACTGGCTTATAAGGTTGATAAGTCAAAAAAATGGGTCACCAAACGAGCTCTAAATTTGATTCAAATGCCCTGGGAATCAAATTTTTGCAAATAAATTAAAATATGGTTAAAAGTGCGTTTGGTCACTTTTGATTAGAACGCTACTTCTAATTCAAGCTCCGCCAGTCCGCCCTATGAGAAATTCAGTCTAAGAACTAGGGATGGCAACGGGGCGGATCGGGGACGGTTTTACATATAACCGTACCCGTCCCGTTTGGTAATTCCCCGCCCCATTATCCAACGGGTAATTTTTATCCAAATCATAACCGCCCCAACGGGTAACGGGTATAACCGCGGGTAACCACGGGTAATCACTTTATTAAATGTGTCATTGGTATTTTAATATAAAAATAATGTTTTAAAAGGCAAAAAAGGGCATCACCTAGACGACTCTAGACTCAAACGTCACTTTAAAGTTTTGCATATCTACAAGACGAGAAAGAAGACAAACTAAATGAGTTTGAATCTAAAAATACTTAATCTGAAAAATAATTAATCTCGAAATAATCTGATAATAATCAAACAAGACTATTAAGATCTATTATGAACTTTCCTTCGTAGACTAAAGTTGGTACATTTGTCATTGATATATACATAAAGAAAATAGAAAATTCCCATCTTTTAGTTGTGGGACAACTAATAGATGAGAATGTAATAAAAATATAACTAAAAATAAACGGGGCGGGTACGGGGCGGATAATGGGGCGGACATGTATAAAACCGTAACAGCCCCATTACCCATAAAAACAAAACGGGTATTCCCCGCCCCATACCCGTTACCCGGTCAATGCGGTTTTCCCCGATTTGACCGGGGCGGTTCGGTGCGGGTATCCACCGGATCGGTTACAATTGCCATCTCTACTAAGAACCCGATACAAACTCCTTAGAGCATCTTTAATGGTAAAATGGATTGTACCCCATGAAAAATGGACATGTCATCCAGATGGACATTCTATGAAGCTCATGTGGCCTCACGCACGATTAAAACCATATTTCATCTCCAATGGAGTTTTTGTAGCGGAACTCTAATCGAAGAACAACCGTCTCCCAAGGAAGCCTAGAATACAACAAGTAGTCTGGCCTGCTTAAAATTGATGTTTTCAGATCAAATGAAATGATTTGTATATCACGAAGGTATATATCCAAGAAACAATAGTACCTTCTACCTAACATCATAAGTAATACTACCTCCGTCCCAAATTGATTTGCAAATTTGACTTTTCTTAGTCAAACTGTTTCACTGTATTTGCTTAATTATGATGTCAATTTTTAATTATATTCTAATTTAGAGATTACAATTTTGAAGAAATTTTAATGTAGTTTCTGAATATGTATATTTTAATTATTATAAATTGAATTAATTATCGATATGGAGGATTGACTTTTATTATTGGTTGACCAAAAATTGTTGATTTTGCAAAACAATTTTGGACGGAGGGAGTACGAAGTAGTTTGAAGAGACCAGATCACAATGTAGAAGGCAATCCAAAAGCCACAACTACGCACCGAAGGTGCCAAAGTTAAAGGAATGAAACCGATAGCATCGGAGGATAACGCAGGGGCCGGTGTGCCTACCATCGAGTCAACAACGGCGGCGGCGTTTTTGTCTGCAGTCATAGCCACAAAAAATCATCACGAGAACGGTGAGGAAAACCTTCATGTTGATTGATGCCGGAAAACAAAACATGCCGGAAAAGAATATTGCCGGGAAAAAGGGGTCTGCCGCTGCCGGAAAACGGAATGTGTCTGGTCTGATCTAGTAATGTCTGGTCTCTTTTTATTTTTATAACTATCCAAGTATGATCTGATCTGAAATAGTTTGATTTGGTCTGATCTGGGATGGATTATGGTCAAAGTAAAAACATTCTTATAGGTGTGACGAAGTTTTGCGAAAAAAGAGGCGAATAAGTGAATAAATGACTCGATTGTGATGAGATAATTGAAGCTCTACACTATGAGAGTAGATAAGGAAGCTTGTGTATTATCAAAAAAAAAGGAAGCTTGTGTATTATGTATAGCTCAAATATGAGCCTATATTTGAAGAGCGAATTGGCCCACAGTCGATCGACCCATAAATCATTAAT